TCTCTCTCTCTCTCTCTCTCTCTCTCTCTCTCTCTCTCTCTCTCTCTCTCTTGCTGAGGCTCGCTGTGTCCCCCTCCGCAGCACCCCTGTGTTGGCATGTCTTTTTGACACATCCGTTCTCCGCTTGCTAGTGTTTGATGTAACCAAAGTGTCGGTAAGAGGGTTAAGCACAGATGAGCCCAGCATCAGCGTGCGTCATCCAATCAGTAGTGAACGGAAAGAAAATGCAAAGACTATCGAGGATTCCGAAAATAGACAAGGATCAGTCCTGGAGCTTCCTTATTCAGATGGTGGAGACCAAGATCCTATGGCAATGTCTTGCTGTTTTCTGGTCGCCTGTAGCCTCTCTGTGTCGAGGCTGTACTATAGGTAGGATAGATTCGTAATTTTGTTTGGCTGAGGGCAAACCGAGAGACCTAACTGTGAGGGAAATTCGTGAGGGACATATCTGCAAATTCGGGAAAAATGCAGGCCCGGTACTGACAGAATTCCGTACAGCTACCCTAACTGCGAATAGCAGGCCCGGGCTACCCCTAGGACAGACAGGCCCCACGGGCCTATTCTGATAGACGGTCCTATAGCCTATAGCCGGGTCCGGTAGAGGCAGAGAGGCCGAAACAGAAATGGTACCGGTCGGTCAGTCAGTCCGGTCTAGGTCGGGTCTAGGCTAGTTTAGTCTATGGATAGAATGGGCACAGGGGTTCAGGACTTTTGGCAGTTGGTACCGAGTACATTGCTGCTGCGCTACGCGTGAACCGGAGGTGGTGACGGCTCAGCGTGGAAGGAGACAGGCATAGCCAGACCTTCGGAGCACCGGCCATAGCTGGGACCTGCGCTGTAGTCTGCCAGCACGCAGGGGCTGACAGAGGTCTGGGCTATCGAGGTGTGCTAGAGGCGAGAGAGGTTGGTGCCCTGCTGGACCCTCCTCCGGAGTGGGGTTCCAGGGTGGTGATGCTGCAGCCATAACTGCAGCTTCTTCCTCAGAGGTCATCTTGTCAGGGTTTGTTGGTGCTGCTGCAGACTTCCATCCGGGAAGTCTTCCGACACTTCGTCATCATCAGATACTGTGGTGCTGGTCTTCTTCTTCATCCTCTGAGTGGCACTTGGCCTCAGAGGCCTGTTTCAGGGTGGCGCTTCCCTTTGGAGGCTG